AATTTATTTTAAATAAAAATTCCATGCTGATCGTGTGGCTCATCCATCTGTCAGCCATTTGTATGTCATGTCCAATCTTATTTTGAAAAACCGCGATAGAATGAGTCCACGATAAATGAACTGCGAAGTAGCGAGGGACTACTGTATACCTATTAAAGAGTTTTGGATTGTTGCATTGCATTAAAACATAGGATAAAATATTTGTACCAGATGTTCTAACAGTTCATGTTAACATGTTAACATGTCGGTTAACATGTTCTATCAGCTGATGACTGGTCAAAGAACCAACATTATGTTGAGTGGTTTCAGAGTAGCCTGTTGTATGAAATGTATTGTACTTTTTTTCTTTTCTGCCTGATGGACAATATTCATTAAAAAATGCTAATTGGGGACTGCCTGGTAAAAGGCAGCCACCTATTGTTATCCACCTGACAAAGGTTTCTTAACTTTATATCCTGCTCTTCCATCAACTTTAATGCGGTCTGAACCACAACGTGTACTTCCACAAATGTTATGTCAAAATAACCGGCTCAGCACCGTGATGTGTGCTTTTACTTTTATTGCCATTTCAAGTTACCACGACGACGTAATTTGCAAACAAAGATGCCGCAAACTTCAGTCCTGCTTCCTTTCTTCCAACATCTCTGGCGTCTAGCAGAGTATTTGGTACATGCCAGTTTATTGGAAGTTTTTATCGTGTTGTCAATAGTAGTATTTTGGGTATTGATGTGCTTTTGATGTTGTGGAAAATTATATTTTATTTATTTAATCAATGTTAATATTATTCAACTAATGTTTGCGCTAGCTTTTAACATTATATCGCCAAAATATGATCCAGCTCAGTGAAGCACAGTGAGACAAATAAATTAAAAAACTTTGCTCTAAAGGCCAAATGTGAAAAAGTCTAAACTGTTTTTGAAGTAGAGCTTTAGGTTTTCCGAAGGAAAATGTAAAATCAAAAAAGATACAGATGGGAGGTAATCATGGCACTTAATGCAGGTGAGTTGTTAATTAGTGCAGACGGGAAAGAGAGTCCAAAATGGTTTGTGATCAGACTGGACCAGATGTCTTCAAAGCAGTGCAGGCCAGCCTCACATATACACTCTCTCCTCTGCCGTCCGCCCAGATGGTGGTCCTCCCACCTGGAATATTTTGGTATTCAGTTTTTATTTCAATGGTTCGAACACGTATCACCAATCATAGCTAACTGGTGCCTATTTCAATTAGCCACATGGAACGTTGATGAGCCACTTACTGATTGTAGTGTCACAAGATAAAATAAAAAGTAGAAGATGAACTGAACTTATAATCAATGGGGACTTCCACCTATTATTGTCCACCTGAACAGGGTCTTGCTCTTCTATCAACTTTAATGCAGCCCAAACCTGCAATGTGTGCCCCCCCCAAAATGTTATCTCAGCACAACCGGCTCAGCACCATGCTGTGTGCTGTTACTTGTATTGGCATTTTGATTTACCATGGAGATGTAATCTACAAACAAAGATGCCATTTTACTCACTGGAAAACACTGACGGAACTCTTTACAGCCTCTGACAGTGAGGTCACATGACCTGGAGGAGAGAGGTCTCTGAACAAAACTCAGTACGACATCGAACTCTTCCTACCACCACGTTTTTTGAGATACACATAAATATTATACTGTATGTCAAGACGGAGGTATTTTGTCATCCATCCATCCATCATCTTCCAGCTGTTCTAGACTCGGGTCTCGGGGGCAGCAGCTTGAGCAGGACGGTCCAGACATCTCTTTCCACAGCCTCTTCCAGCTCTTCTGGGAGGACTCCCAAGGCGTTGAAATGAGAGATGTAGTGTCCAACGTGTCCTGGGTCTTCCCCGGGGTCTTCTACCAGTTCGACATACCTCCCTAGGAAGGCGCCCAGAAAGCATCCTTACCAGATGCCTGAACCACCTCAACTGGCTCCTCTGGATGTGGAGGAGCAGTGGTTAAACTCCAAGTCTCTCCTGATAAGGATAAGAGAGGCCACGCTGCAGCAGCTTCAAGCACTCCGTCCATCTTCTGGACGACTGCATGTACATGTTCTCGTTGTATCTCGGTGCAATGATAATAAAGATTATTCTGATAACTGAACTTCTCACCCTGTCTCTAAGGGAGAATCCAGCTACCCTGCAGAGGAAACTCATTTCAAGGTCCATCACAGGGAGATCTAGGATTACAGAAAATATATATATTTTATCCTCCTTGATTTGTTTTGTATGATTCTTGCCAACTGTTTAAAATTTTTGTGTTTAATTTTTTTTAAATGTTTTTATTTGTAATGATGAAAACTCATGTGGTCGTATAGTTTCTACCCAAGTTTTTGTTTTGCATTTGCTTCCCATTATTGATGCCTCATTAATACTAAAGCATACCTTGTGTTTTTATTAGATTATACTTTTTCACAGCTATACACTTTACAGTGGTGCAAAGATTTAAATGTGTTTTTGTATTTGAAGGAGCAAAAGTCTTGGAGGTTGACAACAGTTTGACTTCTATGATGCTGAAATAGAAAAGGGGATATTTCAGACAAGCTGAACTTCTCATGGACTGGATTTTGTCTCGGGTCACAACGATGACGAGTATTAAATGATGCTTTGTGAATGATAGTTACTGTTTCCTGAAAGGATGCAGGAGCAGGATGAATCTGTTCCCACCCTTGGCTGTTTGGTCAGCAAAGTTTTGCTCTGCAGTTCCTGCTTCATTGTGTGTTTCAGGGCAGGTTTTATTTTTCCAAACACCTTCTGTCTGCACAGGTTCTGACGTACGTGACTCAAAGCACGAGTCACACATTTGTGTGACGATCTGACTCATAACGGATTGTGTCCTGATCAGGAATTTAATAAATTAAAAGTTTAGTTCACACTTAAAATGCAAAACGGTAAAAAGCCCTCAACTTTTTCATGCTTTCATAACATATTTTAGGCCTGAATTCATCAAACAGCATGTTTAACCAAACCATTCACATTTATTAAGCCTTCAAGAAAAAATGATGAGCCGTCTGTTTTTTTACTTTGTTGTATTATTATAAATACATCTTGTTTATTTTCTCATTAGTTACATTTTATTTAATTATTTTCAGTTAAACTTAATTAAAATGATTGAAAGAGTAATTAAACTTTGAGTTAGCGTTGGAAACGCACATTTAATCTTAACTATTCGTGTGTCGATCGTTCTGTAAGAAACTGAATTCTCATGTTAGACGCAACCTTTTAACTCCTGCTGTTGTAGCTTTCATTCTTTTTATCCACAAGCTTTTTGTTTTATTCATTTTTAATGGTTTATACTTAAATAACTCTTATAACTGTCCATTGTTGTCATCATTCTTTGTTGAAATCAGGTCTCTCTTGTAAATGAGTCCTCGAGGCTCAATGGGATTAACTGTTTAAATAAAGCTTGAATGAATGAATCAATGAAAAAAAAAGTGTCTTGTCAAGTAAAAACCAGTTATGTAACACAGCCTGCTTTTAATTTAATTTTTTTAATTGTACTCTTTTTAATCCCCAATGGGGAAATGAATTATCTGCTTTTTTTCCCATTGCACATGTGAGTACACATGTGAAGCGGAGGGTTACCATCTAAGGCGCTGGGGGAGCAGATGTTGGGGGTTAAGGGCCTTGCTCATGAGCCCAGAGTGGGGCAGATGAGGGTGGAGGCAGGTGTGGGTGTTTCAACTTTCTCACCAACATTTTGATGTCAGTTCGGGGAGTTGAACCGGTGACCTTTCCGATCAAAGGCCCACCTTCTCTAACCTCTGCGCCACCACTCCCCCTTTAAACTGCTAAAAATATTGTAGACAAATTATGCAATCGTATTTTTTTCCAAAACATTCATCTCTAATTTATTTGCTGTTATTATGCATCTTAGTTTTTGATTTTGTGTACACTTTACTGATTTATTATTGTCAGACTTAAACAAGGTTTCCTAAAATATAAAACCAAATGTTAATACGTGATAACTCAATAACATGACGTTTTTGTGATTTTTATGTTTTTTTTTGTTTATTGTCTGTTTAATACGATGTTTGACTTTGATTCAGAGGTGAAGTCTGTGATTTTTATCTCATCAAACCTGGTTTAAACAGCCATCTTTAAAACTGGACAGATATTTAGACAAAGTCTCTCAATCCTTCTGTTCTTTTTTTAAACTTCAAGGACTAGACCGGTTGATCACCACTCCTGAGATAGATTAGCTTTATGAAGGGAAAGTTTGCCACCTGATGGAGACATCAGAGCACTACCATCTTAGTTCATCCTTTCTCACCATCAAGTAATTTTCATTCAACCTTTATTTAGACAGGTAAATCCCATTGTAATAACTCCATCTCTCTCTCTCATCTCTTCTGAAACGAAAGAGACGGAGTTATTAGATAGTTTGTACCTTTAAATTATGAATGATGCAATTATGGTTATATTGTGTGATCGTATGTGTTTGAGATTTAAGTTTTAATCATACAAGGACTCAACTACATTATTTCCCAAGTATGAACTGTTTGATAATGGGTGTTATATATCCCAAGGTAACCAAATTAAGTTTTTCATTTAAAATAAATTTTAACATCTTTTTATTCTTTTCTCTTTTGCAGGTCGACCTTCTGGTATATTTGAGGCCTGAATAGTGCTCATCATTATTCTACGATCTTTTCCTGCTCATTGTCGCTTCATGGAGAGCTTTCCTGTGCACTGACCTGACCGGCTTCCCTCTGAACCTGCAGCCATGTCGGCCTGCAGCACTTTCACTGAGCATGTGTGGAAACCAGGCGAGTGCAAGAACTGCTTTAAACCCAAGAGTCTGCACTGTCTGGGTCAGAGTGGTGGAGGGAAGCCCCCTTCTGAGCAAAGATCATCAAATCAGCAACAAATTGCACCTCCAGCTGGGAACAGAGCTAACTCTAACCTTTCTACAAACATCCAGAGGGGTGGAAGTGGATCTGCACGCTCGGGACACGTCCGTCCACCAGTGGCTAAAAAGCCAACCATCGCTGTTAAGCCCACTATGATGCTTCCCTGCTCTTCTGCTGGACTGGACTTGGATGGTAATTTGCAGCAACAAACAAATATAATAGAACGGGGTAAAAATTCAGCCTTCACTGTCTGGAATCGCAATGGACTGAACTGTAAGAGGCCCAGTGGACCCAGCAACAACAATGAAGGGGAAGATGGCAGTGAGGTAATTGAAGGTTATGGACAACTTAGCCCAAGAACACCAAGTGGAAATAATAACAGCGGACTGACCGATGTTCTCAAGGAGATTGCAGGATTGGGCCCTGGCTGTAGCTCCTCGCCCTTATCTGGGTCCAAAGACATCTTTTGGGGACGAATCAATAGTTCATACCGAAAGTCCTTAGAAAGAGGCCTTCCAGCATCCAGCTGTCTGGCTATGGGAAGCAGCAGTAGTGAAGGTGCTGCTCAAAAGCGAGTATCTCTTAGTGACAGTGCTAAGATCATCAGCACAGAAGGTGGGCGCTACTGCTACCCAGACTTTTCCAGTGAAGATGATGATGAGGAAGATGAAGATGAGGAGGAAGATACCGAGAAGGATGATGATGATGATGATCATGAGAGCTGGGATGAAAGTGATGAAGAGTTACTGGCCATGGAGATCCGTATGCGAGGCCAACCACGGTTTGCAAATTTCCGTGCTGCCACACTGTCTCCTGTGCCATTTGCTGCTGGTAAAAAATGGAATACTGTGCCACTTCGCAATCGTTCACTTCAGAGAATTTGTGCAGTGGACTATGATGATAGCTTCGATGAAATCTTGAACGGATATCCCTCAATTGATTCCAATGGATGTCTCCTTCCTTTTGGTCCTCGTGACACGCAAGGCAGTGCTTTCCTTTCAAATTCAGAGTCCACTACTTCTCCAGAATCATCTTCGTCACTACAAGAAGATTCCCAAACAACTTCCAGCAGTGGGATCAGTGCCCAATGTGCCCTTAAAAATGGTGTGCATTCACCCATATCTTGTAAGGTACCTGTTCCATGTATATCTCCCTCAAACAAGGAGTCTGTCAACAGAGTATTAAGTCCAGTCAGGGTGGCTGAAACGCACAAGGCTGTCCTAGCTATAAGATTAGAAGAACAAGATAGCAGAGAAGGTATGCCAATGCCTCAAGCCCTTCCTGGTCAACCAGTCACGATAAGTTTTAGTCCCACAGATGAGCAAGCTAAACCATACCGTGTTGTAAACCTAGAAAAATCCCTCATATGTAAGCCCTACACAGTGGTAGATGTCTCAGCATCCATGGCCAATAAAGATGAACAAATGCCAGATTCGTTGCCACATTGCACAAACCTGTCAAAGACCTCCAGCCCTACAACACTTTGTAGCACTCCTTTAGTTCAGCCGCTGTCTCCAATGTCCCCCATTTCTCCGTCTTCCCCTTTAAGGCCAACATCACCTTCATCTGTTGCTCAGTCAGGTATTACACGAAAGAAACCAGGCACTGTCCGCTACCAGGAAGTGTGGACATCAAGTACAAGTCCTCGCCAAAAAATACCTAAAGTGGATCTAGGGATAGGGAGCCCTCCTGGTGCCTTTGTGACTACTCAGTTTTGCAGTCATAAGTCAGCTCCCACTTCTCCCATTGCAGGGTTGTCTTCCTCTCAAACCGTACCTGTAAAATCTCCCAACTTATCAGAGATCAAGTTTAATAGTTTTAATAATGCGGGCATGCCTCCTTTTCCTATTATTATTCGAGATGAACCAGCTTATGCTCGCAGCTCCAAGAATGCGGTCAAGGTACCAATTGTTATCAATCCAAGTGCGTACGACAATCTTGCTGTGTACAAGAGCTTCTTGGGACTACATGGGGAACAGTCGCAAATAAAAGGGGTAGGTAGCAGGGTTACCAGCCATACCTATGAAGAAATTGGATCCTCTGAGAGTGTTCATTCCTCATTAACTGAGAAAACTCTCTCTGGGACGGGTACATCAGAGCGAACTTCATTTGAGGAGATGAAATTTCCTCTCGAACCAGTACCAAAAGCACCAAGTTTGCTACCTAAAGCCACTACAGATTCTAGCACTGTAACAAGCACTGCAATGAGCTCTGCATCCGAGTCCTTTTCTCCCACTACATCACCAAATTCCTCTTTCAATCTTGCCATTACTGCAAATCTCACTAAAGCTAGTCTTGTTGGTAATGTTGTTCCTCACACTCATTGGACAGCTGGAGATGTAACTTCCAGCAAAGATGATGATAAAAGTTCAACTGTATCTTCTGGGACAGTTACAAGTCACAGAGAGGAAGCCAGTACTGTACTATCACAGATTGTGGCCTCTATCCAGCCTCCTCCGTCTCCACCAGAGTCACCCTCAGCACAAACCAAAGCTTTTAGTACTGAAGAGTTGTATGCCCTACCACCTGATGCCATAAATGAGACGCTTAATCGGCCCAAGTCTCTCTTTTCCACCACTGATGGTTGCCTTTCTAAGCCAAAAAATGAAAACTTATCAAAGGTTTTGTCTAAATCCCAGAGTGCCTCTGCTGCTGTCCCACTTTCTAGCCCTCGATCAGAGATCAATGCCCCCTACCCTCCTCCAAGATCCACATCCTCCCCATACCATGCTTCTAACATACTTCAAAGGCATTTTGGTAATTGGACAAAGAGCTCTGCCACAAGCTCTCCTGTACGACCCAGTGAAGGTGAAGCAAGTCCTGCTGGAGAAGGAAGACGTACTTCAAATGAAAGTTCCAAACCAAAACGCTGGATCTCCTTTAGGAGCTTTTTTCGTCGGCGGAAAGATGACGATGAGCAGAAAGAGAAAGCGGAGAGAGACAAGGAGAAGGGTAAGCTGGTTGGCCTTGATGGGACAGTCATTCATGTTCTTCCACCTCCACCTGTGCAGCCTCAACACTGGTTTACAGAGGCCAAACCTGAGGATCCCACTCAGAAGTCTACTATTATATTCACATACAAACCTGACACTCAAAGCGCCCCTGGTGCTGGAGAAGGAGAGCTACGAGTAGAGCAGTGCAAAGAAACGGATCTACAAACGATGAATGAAAGCAAGGACCACAGATCTTTGACCCCAGGCGAAACGCAGCCCTCAGAAACCACTGATGCAGATGTCATCGGCAAAATCCAAAGGTATTTGAGTTTGACTCACTCTGCTGTTTAATAACAGATACTAAGAAAATGGGTATTGATAATGTTAAGTAAAATGTAGCTTGAGGTATTTTTCTTCTAAAATGTTATAAGAAAACAAAACTAAATGCAGATAAACTAAAACAAAATAATTGGAGCCTAAAATTAATACAACCCAAAAATGGGGTAAATTGTACTTTTTTCTTTTTTAACATCTTCCGCATACCAGATCATTATTGTGTTGGATTTTAGTTGAACAGGTCTGCTTGTCTGCATGCCCAGCAGATTGCATGAACTGTATAACCTTTGCAAACTCTTCTGTAATATTGTCTCTTACTTTAGCTGAAGGCTTTGAGCTAACTGTGCAACACTGCTTTGGTTTTACTCAAGTTGTATCTAAGCTTTAAACGAGGCACATTGTCTTACTAAAAGTAATCTGTCTTGCCTAATTTGTTCCTCCATTCTTTATTAACATGTTTTAATCTGTTGTCACTGTCTGCAGGTAAGCTTTTTGTTGCCTACTTGTAGTTAACACAGATACCTAAAAATGTATCAGATACAGTGGATTTGTGGCTCGAGTACAGTTGTTGTAATGTGTGTATGTATGTATATATATATATATATATATATATATATATATATATATATATACATACACATACATACATATATATATACACATACATACAGACAAACTGGATTCCAAAAAAGTTGGGACACTAAACAAATTGTGAATAAAAAGTGAATGCAATGATGTGGAGGTGCCAACATCTAATATTTTATTCAGATTAGAACATAAATCACAGATCAGAAGTTTAAACTGAGAGAATGTTTCATTTTAAGGGAAAAATCTGTTGTTTCCAAATTTCATGGCGTCAACAAATCCCAAAAAGTTGGGACAAGTCCATTTTTCCCACTGTGTGGCATCCCCCTTCTTCTTACAACACTCAACAGACGTCTGGGGACAGAGGAGACCAGTTTATCCAGTTTAGAAATAGGAATGCTTTCCCATTCATGTCTAATACAGGCCTCTAACTGTTCAATCGTCTTGGGCCTTCTTTGTCGCACCTTCCTCTTTATGATGTTCAAATGTTCTCTATAGGTGAAAGATCTGGACTGCAGGCTGGCCATGTCAGTACCCGGATCCTTCTCCTAGGTAGCCATGATGCTGTGATTGCTGCAGAATGTGGTCTGGCATTATCGTGTTGAAAAATGCAGGGTCTTCCCTGAAAGAGA